CGATGCAAGGCTGCAAGCCCAGCAATTAAATACCCAGAGCAGAGCTGGCCTTAAATCTGGCCGGTGATATCCCCGGCACGGCTTGAATCCCACTGCGGTGGTGCCGGACCCCCCTTTGCCAGGAGCAGGATGCAAAGAGGCAGGCGTAATTATTATTTTTTTTTTTTTAATCTTTTCCTTTACAGCTTTTATTTCCCCGTGCAAGAAAACAAGACGACGTGTCCACTCGGGGAGGTGGAAAAGAAAGCGGCGCAGCTCATCGGGAAGTGAGTATCAGGGTCGGGAGCGAGGAGCGGGGGGACGCGGAGCCAGGACCCTCCCCACCCCGTGCCCGGTCTCACCGGCCCTTTGCTCCTCGGCAGCTACACGAGGGACCACCCGCTCTTCTTGCAGCTGAAGGACTACTTTTGGGTGAAGACGCCGTCCTTCTACGAGCTGCCCTACGGCACAAAAGGAAGCGGTAAGCCTCGGCAGCGATCGCCGTGGCTTTCTCTCTGTCCTTCTTAAAAACATTTGTGGTCTGATTTTTTTTGGGGGGGGCGATTTTCTTTTTTTCTTCCTCCCTAGCAAGTTGTTTGCTTGATTTTTTTTTTTTAGGTTTAGGGTGGGCCAGGCTTTACTAAGCCCCAGCCAAGGATTATCTGCCCAGATCTGGGGGGAGCTGGGACTAACGGCAGGAGGAGCTCTGGCAGGGATGGGGCAGCACCCGGGGCGTTGTAGCGGGCAGGAGCTGCCTTGCTCACCTTCTCCTCACCCTTGCTTTGCAGAAGACGTCCTCCTGCGCTTGCTGTCCATCACTCACTACTCCCTGCCCGAGAGCATCCAGAGGTAATGCAGGGGTGGGTTTGGGGGCTTTTCTGTCTGTCTTTGCATCGTTGCTGTCTTGGGGAGGGGGAAAACTTGCACATTGTGGGCCCAAGATTTGGCAAAATCAGAATGATAGAATCATCGAATCGTTTAGGTTGGAAAAGACCTTGATGATCATCCAGTCCAACCAGTAACCTCACACTGCCAAGTCCACACTAAACCAGTTAAGGGGAGAGTAGCAATTTCATGTTTCCTGGCTTGGTGGCTGGATTATTTATAATGGAAGTAAAACTAGGAATCATTAAGGTTGGAAAGGACCTCCAAGATCATCAGTCCAACCATCAACCCAACACTCCCATGCCCACTAAACCATGTCCCCAAGTGCCACCTCTGCCCATTTTTTGAACCCCTCCAGGGATGGGGACTCTACCACCTCTCTGGGCAGCCTGGTCCAATGCTTGACTACCCTTTCCGTGAAGAAATTTTTACTACTATCCAATCTAAGCCCATTTCCTCTCATCCTATCGCTAACTACTTGGGAGAAGAGCCCAACACCCCCCTCCCTGCCCCCTCCTGTCAGGAGCTGCAGAGCGATCAGGTCTCCCCTCAGCCTCCTCTTCCCCAGGCTGAACACCCCCAGCTCCCTCAGCCGCTCCCCACCAGCCCTGTGCTCCAGACCCTGCCCCAGCTCCGTTGCCCTTCTCTGGACACGCTCCAGCACCTCAATGTCTTTCTTGTAGTGGGGGGCCCAAAACTGGACACAGCATTCCAGGTGCGGCCTCATCAGCACCGAGTACAGGGGAACAATCACCTCCCTGCTCCTGCTGGCCACACGATTCCTGACACAAGCCAGGATGCTGTTGGCCTTCTTGGCCACCTCTGTGAGCCAGGGATGGTGGATGGAGCATGGGATGCTTTGTAGAGTGGGCAATGCAGGGTTAAACCCCGCCTCGGGGCTTAAAACCACTTGGGTTTGAGAGCGGGTCCGGCTGAGGCGGGGCTTTTCTCTCGCAGCTTGAAGTGCCGGAGGTGCGCGGTGGTGGGCAATGGCCACCGGCTCCGCAACAGCTCAATGGGGGAGACCATCAACACGTACGACGTTGTGATCAGGTACAGCCCTGGCTCCGTCCCGTCGACCCCTCCCTGCTGCCACCTGCACATGGGGTTGACACCTGTGATGTCCCCATGTCCCCCCCGCAAAGGTTGAACAACGCCCCGGTCCATGGCTATGAGCAGGACGTGGGCTCCAAGACCACCATGCGCCTCTTCTACCCCGAGTCGGCCCACTTCAACCCCAGGACAGAGAACAACCCCGACACATTGCTGGTGCTGGTGCCCTTCAAGCCCATGGACTTCCAGTGGATGGAGGCCATCCTCAACGACAAGAAGAGGGTAAACGTGGCGGGGGAACCGGGTCCAACCCCTCCCTGACTGCTCCGGGGTCCAACCCTACCCTCATCCCACCCCACCCTGGGGACCTACCTCTCTTACTGGGACACCGCTGGACATCATCTTCTTGTAGGTTCGGAAAGGGTTTTGGAAACAGCCCCCGTTGATCTGGGACGCCGACCCGGAGCAAGTGCGTGTCCTCAACCCATACTACATGGAAGTAACTGCTGCTAAACTGCTCAACCTCCCCATGAAGCAACCACGGAAGGTCAAACAGGTAAGGGGTGGGGATGGCCGGGCACCCTGCGCACCCCTGAGGGGTGACGTTCCTCCCTGCTGTCCCCCTGGCCGTCCCCGTGCAGCTCGCTGAAGGCCCACGGCTCTTCACACATCTCCTCCACCCTCTCCGTCCAGAAACCCACCACAGGGTTGTTGGCCATCACCTTGGCGCTACACTTCTGCGACCTGGTGCACATCGCCGGCTTTGGCTACCCTGATTCGGCCAACAAGAAGCAGACCATTCACTACTACGAGCAGATCACGCTCAAATCCATGGCTGTAAGTATCTACCCCCGCTTTTTGTCCTCCCTACCCCCAATTTTGGCCCCAGCAGGGGCGATCACAGCCCAGGAGAGGTGCCCTGCCCCGTTTGGTGGCGCTGAGCGGCGCGGGAAGCTCTACCCATGGGCTCGCTCCCCTTCCACCGTGGGCGTTGGGGTCCACCTTTTGGATGGTCATCACCCAGCTTGTCCTTGTAGACACGGTGGAGAGTTGGATCTGGGTGATGCGTGAGCAGAAGGGCTCACGGCCAGGGGGTTTGGGCAGGGAGGGTCACGTCCCTCCTTTTGGGGGGCTCCTCTCCCGCCTTTTGGCGGGCTCCTCGCTTCAGGTGAAGGCGTAGGGCCAACTCGACACTGGTGGGGTGGACAAGGCGGAGGGCTGGGAGGAAGCGGAAGGGAAAAGCGTGGCACCTCCTCGCTGCC